CCAGATCAAGCAACCAGCCTGCTAAGCCAGCTTCTACATCATTGGTGGGACTCAGGTCAACCCAACAAGTTTTACAAAGTGGGTCTCCCTTAACACATCATGAGACTGAAAGTCAAACTGGTTTGTGTCTTTCTTATGTAGCCTCTATTCCAGTAAACTTGTTGGAAAGAGATTAACAATAGAAATTGAAATTTATTACTAACCATCTCTCCACTGCTCCAAAGGTTATAAATAGTTAAAGGACTAGAAAAACTGAGCAAGAAAACTCTCAGCCCTTAGATGTTAAAATTAAGTTAGACTGCACCAAAATCAGGTATAAAAACTAATACTTGATACTTCTCCTCCCAAAATGGCCTTACCTTTACAACGGAACAGTAAAACACCTGTTTGGGTAGAGCAATAGCCCTTCAAAAAGGAGAAACTTGATTGAGAATATACAGCTCAGAAGCAGCACAACACCTGCCTGGCAAGCATGAGGTCGTGAGTTCAATTCCTGGTGGGAGAGGGCGAGAGAGAGAGAGAGAAGCGGGGGGAGCCTTATACATCTGTATGATTTAATGCAGAAACAAATTTAGCTGGGTCCCTTGGAGCTGTCAGTTTTTGATGCACCCTGTGTTTGCTATTCCTAAAAAATCTGATAAATGGAGATTGTCACAATGCTTGAGTATTGTAATCCCAAATATTGAGTACAGTTATCCAAGTATCATAATCCGTTTTCCAGTTTTACTCATAAACCAAAAAGTTATATTCATAATCCCATTGAGATGTTACTGGAATCCCAACAAGTTAATTCCAATCTACCACCTCCACAATGCAACCCATGGCGAGAGTAAAGACACTAAGACATATTCCAAGTTAAAGAGCCACGGGGTCCTAAATCCAATCCCCATGAGGATGTGCAAAGGCCCTGATCCTAGGCCTCTCCTAGAATTTTTTATCTTGTGAAGAAGGGAGTGACTTGAGGATAAGTAATAGTGAGGATGCTGGGAATTGTGTGAGTAACTTGAGGGGGCTGGCCAGGTAGGGAGAAAAGCATCTCTGCAAAATGCAGAGATAAAGATATGCAGAAGGATCAATTTGCATAATTCAATTAAGGTAGCAACTGAATTGCTTTAGGAGGCTTGCTTCAGTTTCTAATATGCAAACTTTTGTGCCCTGGGGAGTCACAGCCTCTTTTTCTTGAGGCTTATACCCAGCTGACCTTCCTGGACCTGACTGGCTTTACTGTCCCACTGTGCTTATATATTTTAGAAAGAGCACTATGCCAGGAAACAGGAGACTGTCTGATGGCTTTAGAGACTGTACCTCAGCTCGCCTTATTTGCAATGCTTAGAGCCAACTGAAGAGAGAAAGGAATACCAGAGTCAGCTCTGTATACACAGTATAAGGAAATAAGTCTCCGCGTAATCAAAGTTGCCGCAGTTGTTCTGCATTCAAGGGGAGTCACTCAACTTGTCTCCCGCAGTTATAGTTCTTTTCTTTTTTTAAAATTTTTATTTTAAAGAGATTAAGACAAAAGAGAACATAACAAAGCAGATCAGATTAGAACAATGTAAGCAACACAGTATTTCACAAGACAATCCGTAATTAACAGTAACTACCATAATGTCTCTTTCTTTGAAATAGTTGAGCATAACTTCATATACAGCAGCATCAAACATAACAAAATAGTATAAAACCATTCAAGAGAATGAAAGTACTACAGAGCATTCAGAACCAAATAACAGAGAACGAACAATGACTACTATATTTTCTCATTTTCCATTCAAAATTTGTTTATACTATCACACATAATAAACTCCAATAAGATACAATATGATAGAACCAATGGAAACAGAAGAACAAAAGCATGGTAGGACTTCAGAGTAAAATGATATTAAATCAGCACTGGCTATTATAATGTCTTGTTTTCTTTAAAATAGCTGTTCAAACTATCACAGATAATAAAATCAAACAAACCCAGATAAAACCATTCCAACTAATGAATGTAAACATTATAAGGCTTCAAAGCAATGTAGTGGGGAATCATGATTACCATAAACTCTTATGTACTCTTACCATTTCTTACACTTACACTATACATGTATACATGTATTTATACATGTGAGTTTGATTTATTTTGCTTATGAGTATGGTCTCAGGGCTGGGGATTTAGCTCAGCGGCATAAGCACCTGACTTGCAAGCAGGTGGTCGTGAGTTCGATCCTTGGTACCAATAAAAATGAAAAAGACAAAAAAAAATGAATATGGTCTCAAGTTGCATCCATTTATTTATAAATATCTCAATGTGATCATTCTTTATAGCTGAGTAGTACTCCATTGTATAAAAAAATACCACAACTTTTTTATCCATTCCTCAGTTGATGGACACTTAGATTGTTTTCAAGATCTGGCTATTACAAATTGTGCTGCTATAAACATGGGTGCACATGTATCACTGTGGTATGATGTTTTCAGTTCTTCTGGGAATATGCCTACAAGTGGAACAACTGAGTCAAATGGGACTTCCAATCCCAGCTATTTGAAGAATCTCCAGATTGACCTCCACAATGGTTGCACCAGTCTACACTCCCACCAACAGCACAGGAGAGTTCCTTTTTCCCCACAGCCTCTCCAGCATTTGTTATTGGTAGTTTTCTTGATCCTGGCCATTCTTTCTGGAATGAGGTAGAATCTCAGTGTAGTTTTTTTTTTTTTTTTTTTGTCTTTTTCGTTTTTTTATTGGTACCAGGGATCGAACTCATGACTGCCTGCTTGCAAGGCAGGCGTTTATGCCGCTGAGCTAAATCCCCAGCCCCTCAGTGTAGTTTTAATTTGCATTTCTCTAATGACCAATGATGATGAACATTTTTTCATATATTTATTTGCCATTTGTGTTTCTTCATCTGAGAACTGTGTATTCATCTCAGATGCCCATTTTTGGGATTGGGTCTTTGAATTTTGGGGGTCTGATTTTTAAAAATAATATGTTTTAGACAGAAGTCCTTTGTCTGAGGGACAGTTCACTAAGATTTTTTTCCCAGTTTGTGGGTTTTCTTTTCACTATGCTGGAGATTTCTTTTGACATGTAGAAACTTTTTAATAAAATGTGATCCCATTTACTGATTCTGGGAAGTATTTCCCATGAGGAAATACTTCCTGTTCATGAATTTTCTACCTACCCCTATGTCTTCAAGGTTTTTACCTAATTTGTCTTCCAACAGATTTAGTGTTTTTGTTTTAATATTCAGATCTTTGATCCATTTAGATTTTAGTTTAGTATATGATGACAGGCATGGGTCTAGTTTTAGTTTTTGGCATATGGAGAGCCAGTTTTTCCAGCACCATTTATTAAAGAGACTGTCATTCTTCTAGTGAACATGTTTGGCCCCTTTATCAAAGATAAGGTGGTTGAGTGTGTTGGTAGTTGTGGCTGTATTTTTTTTTTTTTTTTTGTCTTTTTGAGACAGGGTCTCACTATGCAGTTCAGGCTGGCCTTGAGCTCACTTTGTAGCCCAGGCTGGTCTCAAACTCACAATGATCCTCCTGCCTCAGCCTCCTAAGTGCTGGGATTACAGGTGTGAGCCACCACACTCGGCTGGTTGTATCTTCTAATCTATTCCATTGATCTTCAGATCTGTTTTTATTCCAGTACCATGATGATTTTATTACAATAGCTTTGTGGTATAACTTCAAGTCAAGGATTGTGATGCCTCTTGCCTTGCCTTTGCTGCTGAGAATTGCCTTTGCTATTCTAGGTCTCTTCTGGTTCCAGATGAATTTTAGGAGTGATTTTTCTAGATCTATGAGGTATGTTGATGGTATTTTCATTGGGATTGCATTGAATTTGTATAACAGTTTTGGGAGAATGGCCATTTTAACAATATTTATTCTTCCTATCCATGAACAAGGGATGTCTTTCCATTATCTGAGATCCTCTTCAATTTCTTTTTTCAGGGTATTATAATTTTCTCTGTATAGATCTTTTACTTCTTTCATGAGATTAATTCCTAAGTACTTCATTTTTCTGGATGCTATTGTGAAGGGTGTGACTTCTCTGATTTCTCTCTCAGTGATTTTAATGTTAGTGCATAGAAATGCTATTGATTTTTGAGTATTGATTTTGTATCCAGCTACATTGCTGAATTTATTTGATATATCTAGGAGTCTTTCAATGGAGTTTTGGGGGTCTTCTATGTAGAGTATTATGTCATCTGCAAATAATGATAATTTAACTTCCTCTTTTCCTATCTTTACCCCTTTTATTTCTCTATCTTGTCTAATTGCTCTGGCTAGTATTTCCAGTACTATGTTGAATAGGAGCAGTGATAAGGGACATCCTTATCTTATGCCTGATTTTAAGGTAAAGGCTTTCAGTTTTTGGCCATTTAAAATGATGCTGGCAAAAATAAATAAACAAAATGATGTTGGCTGTAGGTTTGTCATAGATGGCCTTTATCATATTGAGGTAAAGACCATCTATTCCAATTTTCTGTAAGGTTCTTGTAATGAATGAGTGTTGACCCTTATCAAAAGCTTTTTGTGCATCTATAGAAATATCCATGTGATTCTTACTCTTGGCTTTATTGATATGGTGGATTACATTTATTGATTTACATATGTTGAAACATTCCTGCATGCCTGGGATGTATCCCACTTGGTCGTGGTGTATAATCTTTTTTTTTTTTGTCTTTTTCGTTTTTATCGGTACCAGGGATCAAACTCACGACTGCATGCTTGCAAGACAGGTGCTTATGCTGCTGCGATAAATCCCCAGCCCCCGTGGTGTATAATCTTGATGATTTGCTGCATCCTGTTTGCCAATATTTTATTGAGCATTTTTGCATCTGTGTTCATTAGGGAGATTGGCCTGTAGTTTTCTTTTAGTTGAGTCTTTCTCAGGTTTTGGTACTAGAGTGATATTTGCTTCCAGGAATGACTTAGGAAGGATTGCTTCCCTTTCGATTTCATTAAAGAGTTTGAAGAGTGTCAGCATTAAGTCTTCTTTGTATTTCTTGTAGAATTCTGCAATGAATCCATCTGGGCCTGGGCTCTTCGTTGTAGGTAAGAACTTAATTACATTTTCAATTTCATTAATAGAAATTGGGTTATTGAGCAGTTCTACATCCTCTTGACCTAGCTTTGGTACTTCATATGTTTCTAGGAATCTGTCCATTTTTTCCATGTTATCAAACCTTTGAGAGTAGAGGTTTTTTAAATAGGTGTTAGTGATCTTCTGTATTTCCACAGTCTGTAATGATTTTTCCTTTTTTAAATTCCTTATTGCCTGAATTTGAGCTTTTTCTTTCCTTTTTTAAAATAAGATTGGCTAGGGGCTTATCAATTTTATTTATTCTTTCAAAGAACCAACTCTGATTCATTGATTCTTTGGATTGCTTTCTTAGTCTCTATTGCATTAATTTCTGCTCTGAGTTTTATAATTTCCTCCCTTCTTTTGGCTTTGGGTTTGACTTGCTTTTCTTTTTCTAGATGTTTGAGGTGTGGCATCAGGTTGTTTATTTGTATTCATTCTGTTTTCCTGATGTGGGAACTCAGTGCAATAAATTTTCCCCTGAGGACTGCTTTCATTGCATCCCACAGATTCCGGTAAGTTGTATTTGTATTTTCGTTTGCTTGTAGGTATTGTTTAATTTCTTTTTTAATTTTCCCTGTGACCCCCTGATTGCTCAAGAATGTATTATTCAGTTTCCATGTGTTTGTAGGGTTTTTGCAGTTTCTTTCATCATTAATTTCTAGTTTCTTGGCACTATGGTCTGATAACATGCATGGGATAATTTCAATTCTTTTGCATTTATTTAAATATGTTCTGTGAGCTAGTATATGGTCTATTTTAGAGAATGTCCCATATTCTGCTGGGAAGAATGTATATTCTGATGTTGTTGGATGGAACACTCCGTATATGTCTATCAAGTCCATTTGTTCACAGGTGTGATTCAGTTCTGTTATTTCTTTGATGATTTTCTGTCTGGTTGATCTGTCCCTTGGTGTCAATGGTGTGTTAAGGTCTCCTGTTATAATCGTGTTATTGCTAATTTGATTTTTCATTTCTATTAATACTTGCCTTGTATAACTGGTTGCTCTGGAATTTGGTGCATATATATTTAAGATTGTTATCTCTTCCTCTTGAAGTTTTCCCCTAACCAGTATGTAGTGACCTTCTTTATCTCTTAGGATCATTCTTGGTTTGAAGTTCATATTGTCTGCAAACAGAATAGCTACCCCCACTTTTTTGGGGGTTCCTTTTTGCATGAAGTGTTGTTTTCCATCCTTTGACTTTCAGTCTGTGAGTTTCCTTTTGGGTTAGATGGGTTTCTTGTAGACAACATATGGTTGTATGTTTTTTCTTGATCCATTCTGCTAGTCTGTCTCTTTTAATTGTTGAATTGAGACCATTTACATTAATGGTTATAACTGTTACATATTGGTTTATTGTTGACATGCTATGTTTCTGCTGTTGCATCTTTATCTTTCCATTCTGTTTAACTGTCTGCCTTGCTTAGTGGTTTTTTCCTATGTGTATCTAAACTGTGTTTCATTATTCTTTGCAAGGTTGGCTGGTGATCATGAAGTTCTTCAGCTGTTCTTTGTCATGGAAGTATCTTATTTCTCCATTCATTTTGAAGGACAGTTTTTCAGGGTACATCAGTCTAGGTTGAAGATCTGAAATACTTCATTCCATGCTCTTCTTGACTTCATTGTTTGTGCTGAGAAGTCTGCTGTGATTCTGATAGGTTTTCCTTTATAGGTGATCTGTCTTTTCTCCCTAACAGCTTTTAATATTCTGTTCTTATGTTGGATTTCTGGGATGGTGATTATTATATGTCTGGGTGTAGTTTTATTTTGATTATGGCTATTTGGGGTTCTATATGCTTCACTAATCCATATGTCAGTTTCCATTCTCATGTTTGGGAAATTTTCAGCTATTACTTCTATAAATAGCCTCTTGATATCATTTGTGTTATCCCCTTTTCATTTATCCCTATCAATTTTATGTTGTTTTTCTTTGCATTATCTTGCAGCTGTTGTATTGTTATTTCTTGATTCCTTGTTATTTTTTAAGATCTTTCCTTTCCTGTTCACTAGCTGCAATCTTGTCTTCAAGGTCTGAAATTCTATCTTCACTTTCATTGAAGCAGGTTTGACAACTTTCAATGGAATTTTTGATTTCCTGTATGTCTCTTTGAATCTGCTTCACGTATTCTGTTTGTTTCTTATATTGTTCATCCAGGGATTCTATCATTTTGTTTTGTTCCTCTAATTTTTTAACTCTGTCTTCTTTAGATGTGTTCAGCATCTCTTTCATTACTTTTATCATTTCTTCTTTTACCTGGAAGATTAATTCTAGTTTGAATTCCTTTAAAGCTTCCCAGAGTTGCTTCTTTATTTCAGTTGCTATTATTTCAGGTATTCAAGTGTATGGCATATATTTTCTTCTATGAACATAGCTCCTAGGCTGTCTTGGGGTGTGCTGGAGGTTTGAGATTGCATTTTGGTCTTTTATTTTTTCATTTTCATATATCTCTGTGTTTCAAGTGTTGCTCCAAGGCTTCCCCTGGGCATGTTGGAAATCGTCTGCCATGCCCTTGGCTCCTGGGAATGAATGGAGGTTGCTGAGCATGGTTCAGTCAGGCCCACAGGACTTCCCATGCCACCTCTAGTGTTCCAGGAAGCTGAGTGGGTACCTGACCAATGTGGATGATGGTCCAAAGCTCTCCCTGGACAAGGAACAATGGGCTGGAACTCACTTGATGTGTTCTCAACTCCCCTGATTGAAGAAGGTTGCTGGGTGTAATCTAGTCTGGCTGCAAAACCTCCCAAGCCCAGTCTAGTGTGGGTGTGTCCTTGACCACTGGGAGAGATGATCTTAAACTCTCCCGGGGCTTGAGATGGTGAACAGGAACTCACTCCCACTGGCAGCCCAGTTCCCTTCTCCACCAGCACAGCTCCCCAGATTTCACAGTTATATTTCTTTAATGGGATATTTTTATTATTTGTTCTTATACATGTTGCATTTAAGTTTCTAAATTTACTGGTATTCCTTGTGTTTAGACAATAGCACTATAGAGAATAATATTAGAACAACCCTAGCAGCCTTTAATATAAACTTCTATAAAATGGGGCTTCTTAAATAAAATCTAGCTCAGACTTAGAAAATATACAGGCCTATAATAAAACATAGAACTCCTTCCACCACTTAAAAAGCAGTAGAATGGTGGCCATTGTTCAAGTCTTGGAGGACAGGTATCACTGAGACAGACTGGCTCTGATCCTTCTCTACACTTTAGGAGAAATGTTGAGTCTGTTCTGCATTAGTTTCCATTCTTTGACTTTATTTTTAATCTTTTCCCAACTTTGTACTTTCCTAAAAGAGGCATGTAAAAATCACAAAGAACTCTGGACTCTTCCAACCTTTTTCTCCTAAGTTAAGTCCATAGAAAATGAGCATTTGCTAATGCCAAAGACAGGGAAGTCATCTTCAATGAGGGACACATACTGTGTCTCTGGGTCAGATGAGACATCAGAACCATGCATGTCCAAGAGAACACAGATAAAAGTCATGTCCTGCCTTAGTGTTCTGGGCGATGGTCTCCTTTGGAGATTGAACCTGAGACACAGTGGAAAGAACTGACTTCTGGGTGAAACCAGAAGGAGCTATTTGCAAAAGCAGAACACTTACAGATGTTTAAAATAAAGAGGCTCTGCAAACTTTCAAGTTGTGGGCTTTAGAACCTTTATTGTAAATATATAGGGCACAAAGTAATGACCTTGCTCAGGCTTTTAACTATCCCTTATAGAACTGTGACACACAATGGTTACTCTGCCAGTTAACTGATCACTCCTATAGCAGCTGCCACTCTTAAAAGCAGAGGACAGGTTTCCCCAGCCTCTGTTTGGTGAGTCCCCATTGAAGCCAGTAGCCAATGGAATCAATAGAAGGTTGACCAGACATACAACTGGGTTCCTTTCTGGAGTCTGACCTCTGGTTATCTGGGCCAATAGAAACGGAAAACAACTGATTCTTGCGGTTCCAAGAAGAGTTTAATGATGACATCTACCTGCTATTGCTGCCACAATCCAGGCCACTTTAAGGACTGCCTTAAGAGGCCCCTCAAGCCATGCCCTAACTGCAAAGGGGACCACTGGAGGTTAGACTGCCCTCTGGGGCCAGGGCCCCATGGTTCAGAACCATCCTATCAGCTGGCCCAGCAGAACTAAAGGGCCTCAGGGCACACTCCTCTCCTCCCTCTGGCCAGACTGTCATCTCAGCCTGTCATTTTTACAGAAGAGCCATGAGTAATCAGGACAAGAGGTAAAAACCAGCCGATTGCTGGGCATTGGCATATGTCTCTTTGTCCTTCTCAACTCTGGTCTTACTTTCAGGTATTGTATCTCAATAAAGTCCCCAAATATATGTGGCTTAAACCATAAATTGGATAACTTTCTCTTCACTCATTTCTTTTAGTTATGCCTAAGAGCCCAGCTTGCATCCTGGAGAGATTTTATCCTGTCTAAATACTGTAATATATATCCAGGTTGCCTAATCAAAATGATGCTGCAACTGGTTTTTACGAATATAGTGCATATTGTTGTTTGTATATAAAAGCTTAAAAGCTGGGCATGGTGGCTCACACCTGTAATCCCAGCACTCGGGAGGCTGAGGCAGGAGAATCACTGGGAGTTCGAGATCAGCCTGGGCTACAAAGTGAGCTCAATGCCTGCCCAAACTGCATAGCGAGACCCTGTCTCAAAAAAAAAAAAAAAAAAAAACTTAAAGAGTTTTTTATTTGTCAAAATAATATATTAATCTGGCTCTCATAACTTATCAAATTTAGAGAGATAATTATAACTAAAGCTAGAGGGACTTCAGACTTCATCAATAAAAGGACCTAAGGGCCAATGGGTTACAATTGCTATTCCTTAGAAACAGTTTCTAAACTTACCTGCCAACTCTAATGCTAATGCTTTGATTATACATGGCTTTTTATACCAACTTTGATTGTATATACTTTTTTTTTTTTTTTTTTTTTTTTTTTGGTAACGGGGATTGAACTCACAACTTTGTGCTTGCCAGGCAGGCACTTATACCACTGAGCTAAATCCCTGGCCCTGATTGTATATACTTTGGTTAAATTTGTTCTTGCCTAGAAGGTGCCAAACCCCAAGGCATCATACAGATGAAAACAATAACATATATGCTAGATTCCTTTTAGATTCCTTTCACTGGGATCCACCAGATCTTGTCCAGAAAAAGTTTATATAATGTATATTGAGACTTTAACTAACTGTACTCAGCAGGTCTTAAATGGTATTGCAGCTGATCCGTCTCGCCTAAATAAAAAGGTAAAATGAATGAAACAGGAAACCCTCCAAACTCGGATGATATTAGACATTCTAACAACAGCAAAGAAGGTACTTCTGCAATCTAAATGCATGTATATCCCTGCTCCTTCTGCTAATATCTCAATAACTGTTCAAGGTATCAGATGATAAATCAATGATATGTCAGACTCTAAAAATTCATTGGACCTTATTCTTATCCCCATATGATGGAAATCTTTGTCAGATGTATTCACAATTATCTTAATAATTTTATTATTTGGTCCATGCATACTTAATTGCTTCTTTGTGTTTACTCTAGACTTAAAGCTGTACACCTACTCAAGGTGAAAACACCTGGTATCTCCTGATGGCCGTTAGATAGAACCTCTGCAGATTATCACTGACTGCCATTCAGTGACTATTCAATGAACATTCCATGGCCTGAAGAGGCCAGTTCAGTCATCACCCATTACCCCTTCACAGCAGTTGGGTTTACTTCTTCAGACTGGGGAATGTTACAGGCAGCTGAGTTAGTTAGAAATATTACAGGCAGTCAGAAAGGACTAGGCCCTCATAGGAGCCAGTGCAGAAGATCAGATACCTTGCAACCTTGGGGGAGACAGACTCCTCCCATGGTCGCCACATCTCAAGACAAAAGGCAAAACAAGTGTAACCACACTCTAACACATCAGGGACTGACATTCTAAATAGGTATGGATCACCTTGAGCAAGCCAGGAGTCACTGTCCCAACCCTCTATCGAAAGAGTCACTGTTCTTTAAGCATATCTGCTTGCTACTTGACTCACCTCCCCATTTGTCTGTGATTTGGTCAATTTTATCTGAACAATTAATCTTATTGGTTGACTATAGTTCTCTCCAACCTCAAGCCCATCTTCCTGGTGAGTTCACAGTTTTTTACATCTTGGACCTGTCTCACCTCATGATTTTACTCCATAAAAGTCCCTAGTAAAGACAGAATCTTTGGCAAACCACTCAGGGTCCCTTGACAGGAGCTTTCTTTCTCTCAATAAATATATTCTGCTCTTAATCTGCTTTGTTCCTAAAATTTAGTCTTCAATTTTAGAGAACACAAACTCATATGGATATCTAGTAGGTTGGGACTTTCATTCCCCTGTATCAGGGTCATCAGTTCACGGCCTAAAGAAAAGAAAAAAACAAAACTACTTGTTTTTGTTGTTGGGGGGAGGTGCATTTTGCCAAAAATTGTGCTGCTACACCTGTGGGGGTAACACAGGAAATATCTGTCCCTTCAACAAAATCTTCTACTATATGTCCAAAGTATAGATGTTATTGGGCCACCTAAAGTAAATTTAGAAGTGATGTGGAAGGCCTACCTGTTCCAGAAAAAAAAAGAAAACTTCCAGCAGGGCCTGTATCAGCCATGCCAAAGAGTGATGGCTCAGACAGTTTCCCTGAGATGGCACAGCCCTGTTTGGCTGGCAGGCTCTTATTGGCTGGGGGTAACATGATCCTGATTTGTGGTTTGCTGATTTTTGTTTGCACGATACTCTTACAGAAGACAATTTCAACTAACCAATATGACAACAACTAACCTGTAAAACTTCTCAAAATTCAACATTTGGCTTTCACTAGCTAGTAACAGGCTGGCTCCAGCACATCACTGTTTCACCATGGCTTTGTAGTGGGTCTTGATATCTGGTAACAAATTCTCACACTCCGTTTTTTTTCAAAATTGTTTACTACAGAGGTACTTGTTTCGAAGCCATGATGAATGTAACTCTACATTTATTTAGGTCTTGTTCACTTTCTTATATCGAATTTTAGGTTTCAATACACTGACACTACACAGCTTGCTGAGTTCCTTGAGTTTGTTTCCAGAAGAAAGAAATTGTAACCTTACATTTGTGGGAGGAAATGGGAAAACAACTTAGAGCTAGTTCAAGGCTACTAAAAAACCAAACCAACACAAGTCTATGTAGACTTCTACATATTTGTAAAGGTTATTTAACAAGGCAAATTGCAAGTTTCTTCTCCTCCCACTACTCACAGGCCTTCAGGCAAGAGGGGAACCAAAGAGCTCCACTAAGCCTGGAGTTAGGTCCAGACAAGAGAGATGAAAGAAACAACGGTGCTTGTTTCAGCTGCAAGGGGAAATCAGAGTTATGGTTCAATCTACTCAAAACACTTCAAATCACCCCAGATTCTCCTATTGCTCCTATTCTTCCCTTGACAAAAATTAGAAAATCTATAAAGAAAGGGGATCTAAGGCTTTTTGGTTTTCTGATACTCACTGGGTTCAATTAAGCATTAAGCAGGATCACCCTGAGATTAAATTGATAATTAAAGAAAAAGCATTTAAAGGGCTTTTAGGCACAGAAACAAATGCTTCAGTTATTGGCCAATGCCATTAGCCTATGGCATGGCTTCTGGATGTGACAACTGCAGATCTACAGGGTAAAGGCAATGTTCTCATCCTGGTAAAAGTGCTAAATTGATTTAACCTGGGGGGATACAACGAGCACCTTTGCTGCCACATGCAATCAATTTGCTTTTGAATTACAAATTTATGATCAATTTAGAAGAGTAGTCACAAGGAGGGAAAAGCCAGCATCTCCCAAGAATCAGCCATTCTGGGATGGGGACAAGCCACCAAGAAATCAACTAGCCAGCCTTTCTGGTAGGCTGAACAGGCCGAGTGGGTTCTGTTGTACTCTAAGAAAATAGCTTCGTTATATGTGTATTATAGCAAACCTGTAAAGTGGCTTACTAAATGTGTTTTTTTTATCCTTTTTCCCTAACTGATATTTTAAGTGACGTAATTGATATGTTGAGCAATACTCTCCTCTGTAAAGAATTGCAAGAATCTCACCTAATTGATATGTTAACCATTGTTGCCCTCTACAAACTACAGAAGTTGTGCTAAAACAAGCTAACAAGGGTTGTTAATCACTGTTAGGCGCCTCTATTCTCCGCTAAAGAGCTAAAGAAAACTAGAATGGCCCATTAATTTACACTTGTTTAAAGTAACCTGCTTGTGTGCAGAGAGATTTGCATATGAGTTTAACCCTTTACCCTGACCTTGACACATAACCGCCGTTTCCTGTTCTGTATGGCGCCTTATTCCCTCCCTCTCCCCTCACCTATCTATCTAGGCCATAAAGAATTTGGGTTTCTGGTGACCTCTTCCCGACCCGGTGATGATCTGTCATAAAATGAGCCTGCCCCAAATTTTAAGAACTGTTTAGCTTCAAAGAAATTACCGGGAAATACTATGGCCCAAACCCCAATCGGTGCTTTCCTTTTGTTCTGTATGCATCAAATGTGTTAGATATCAGACCTTTGTAAAACTTAAGTTTCAGCTTCTTGTAACTCTTGACCCCTCTTGACCCACTAGTGAAAACTAGCTGTCCTGGGATAATTAACTGTCCACTTTCTTCTCCAAATATTGCTGCAGATGTGCCACTCCGAGATAATGTCAGTCTGTAGGATGGGAGTAATTTGAGAAACACCAGGAACTCCCGAGATTGTCAGAGCTAAGTGGACAGCAATACAGTTTCCAGACTCGGGTCAACAAGTTTGATGGCTCTGCAGGTTTCTTTGTTTCTCCACCCCCCCTTTTCCTCCAGCCTCTTTTTAAAGTCCTCCCTTCAGTCTCTGGGACACAGTCTCCAAATTGGCTCCCTGAGACTGGTCGCCAGGCCTGGAAATAAAGCCTTTGCCACCTAAATTTTTGGTCTCTTGCCTCCTTGGATTTTATACTGGGGCCCAAGTTATAACAGGTTCTAGGGAGAGAAAACTGAGATAGCTTCTCCCATAAGCCTAGCACAGGCTGAGTTGATAGCAACTAAGGTACATAAAGCAACTAAATGCTTGTGTTGTTTGGTTGATTTTGCAGGCCTTGGGCCAGTGGTCTGAGCATCTTTTGGGAGGTGACAGCATGCAATACAACAAATATGGGGGACTTCCTTCTATCTTGTCTTTAAAAATCCAATATTGTTCTCATTGTTTTTCTTTATTCTGATTGTTTTGCTTTATTCAATACTCTGTTTTGATTGGTTTTATTCTGTTTTGTTTTTGGTTTGATTTTGCTATCTATACCTGACGGAATGGACAACTACTGTGAAGACAAGATATACTATTATAGTAGCTATGGTTTGTTTTCCTATGCTGCTTTGAAGTTATGTACCAATTTTGCTGCATTGTTGGATTGGCTTTGTTCTGTTTTGTTTTGTTGGATTTTACTATCTTTAACATAAAAAATAAAAAATTAAAAGGAATAGTAGCCAGAAGGGTGTGGAGGATGATAGAGTCTCTCAGCTTGAGGCTTAGCTATCTCTAGTCAGTCACCCAATTTGGTACCAGGCCCAGAGAAGCCACTTACCTAAGAGTAACTTCTATATTCTCCTTGTAGTTCCAGAAATAAACCTCCTTCTCCCTTTTTGCACATGTGCTGATCCTTCTCCAATCCCAAGACTCCACAACCACTCAAGCACTCCATCCCCAACCCCAGCAAATCTTTCTGTTTCCTGTTTTGTCCACACAGATGCTCCTTTCAAGTCAGCTATTGTAGGCCATTTTGCCCACCTCCCAATCTCCTCCCCCAACCAGACCTGACAAAAGTAGTTTCGCTTCTTTGTTCTCCCTGAGAATGCCTGCAACTCTTCTGCAGCCCGCTGGGCCCACAATAAGCGCCTCTTTTCTACTTTGTCTATCATGCCAAAATCGTATCGATCTTATCAGAGTAGACTTTCTTCAATGGGTAAGACATCCCTAGATTTCATTTCTAGCCCTCAGGGCCTAAAACCATTTTAGGATTTTTGCCTTTAAGAATTCATGTAAATGGTGTAAGGCATGTACAAGTTCCCCACAATGCACTGGCCTGGCCTGGCTTGGTGTGGCAGGATATATGCCATGGATTTGATGTTTGCTTGCAACTGCAGGCAATGACAGGGGGACAGAGAGGCAGCTAGCCAGAGCCTGCCAAGCTTTTTAATGGCCAGGACACTGCTGGCAGTGCTACAACACTTGGCCCTGGGCTGGGAAGGTGGGGTGTGGCTCTGGCACACCCCAGCCACCGCTGTTTTTCCCATCACCTGTTCACATGCTTTTATGCATCAAAAGTTTACAGGGCACCAGTGCTCGGGGACCCTTAACCACGGCAGGCCTCCAGGCCAGAGCAGGAGAACAATCTGCACACTGAGATGGCAAGAGAGAGCTCTAGGTGCTTAAGTATAAAATGCAGGGTTTTTTCCTGTACCCTACCCAGAAATTCCTTATAATCCTCAGGTCTGAAAATAGTTATAATTTGTAATTTTCCACAGATCACTCCATGCCGTGTTCCTGTTCTGTATGCGTTGCCCACCCCCCTCCCTTTTTCTGTTCCTTCTCCACTGGGCTCATATAGATAAGTTAACCACCAGCCTCATATCTCCCCCACTCTTTTTATTATAGAAATATCCTGCACCTAGCCCTCAGCCCAACACAGCCCAACACCCTGTTTTCTGAGATCACTGTGCTCCAGATGTCCCTTATAAAACTCCCCGGATTCCCACTCTGTCTTTTGAACCTTTACCCTGTTTTGTGGTTTTTGCTAATAAAAGCTATACGCCCCACTATGTCGGCATGCAGAGGCTGGCAGTCTCCACTGCTCCCTGCATCACTGGCTGCCAGCTAAATAAAGCACTTCTTTTTCTTCAAAAATATCTTGCCTTGTTCTGAGCAACATTTGGGGATCTCACTTCTGGGCTACATTTAGGGGCTCATCCTGAATTACATGGGGACCCCTCCCCACATAATGTTTCACCAATCGATTGGCTTGAACCATCTGTAAGTATTTGGGTTTTTTGTTCTTTGTAATTTGAGTGTGCACGTTTGAAATTGCAGACAAGCCTGGGCTCATTCTGCACCAGAGTGGGACGCCTTCCAGGAAAGGACTTCTAGCCCATTTGTGATTTGGGGCTTTTTGCCCATTTGGTTTTATGCTTGGTATATTTTTACTGTGGAGCCATTTAATTGTTTGACTCTGTTACCTCAGTACTAACATTCAAATTTCTTTTATTTCTCTTAAACTACTGTTGCAGGTTCCGTGTGGCTTATTGGACTTAAGGGTCATAATAAAAATTTGTTTCCCTTAGGTTGCTGAACCATGGACAGAAAAACCTTTGTTTGTGTCTTTAATGTTAGTCTTGTCTTTTGTGGCACCTTATTTAATGTTTTAGACAACTGATTACTTACAACTTCGGCATGAGTTAAAAAGGTTTTTTTCTTTCTGGTTAAAATGTAAATATGTATATATATGCACATATATTTACACACACACAAATATATATATATATGGTTTTTTATTTTTTATTTTTGTCTTTTTCCTTTTTATCGGTACGGGGGATCGAACTCACGACTGCCTGCTTGCAAGGCAGGCACTTATGCCGCTGAGCTAAATCTCTAGCCCCTATATATGGTTTTTAAAATTATATTAACTTTACCAACTGAAACCAGGTCATACTGTTATTGAGCCAGTTTAAAAAGTTAGTTTTAAAGTGTAGCATTTTAAGGTGGTAAAAAGACATAAAATGATTCAATATATTTTAGATTACTAAAAGAAAGTCATTTTGTTAAAAGTTTTAATGTCTAAAAAGCTAGAGAAGAGATAATTGACTGGTAATAAGTGAGAAAAACAAATGTGTTCAGAATTTAACAGAATTAGATCAGTAAACCTTTACTGAAAAATGTTTCCATTAAAATAAGATTATATTCTAAAAAGGGGAAGGATCTGTCTTCTCTACTCATTGCTCCACTTGGGATGACTGTCAGAGATTTTGCAGGTTTTATTTACAGCAGAAGAGAGAGAAAACATTCGCACCATGGGATAAAAAGCAGTGTGTGTTCCAGATGAAAACCTGTCCTCTGATCCCAAATTCCAGAACCATGTTTTCCCTTTGTCCCGCGGACACCCAGAGGTAAGAAGGCTCTCGATCAGTATCGCAGTTGTTGGCCATCAGAAAACCCATCGATTTGTCCACGGTAGCAGAGGTGAGACAATTGGCTGATGAGTCCCCCTTAAGGTTTCTGGAAGTATTACAAGAAGCCTATTACATTTACACCCATAAATCTGGTAACACCTAAAAAGCAAGGGCCATTAATATTGCCTTTGTAACTGCTGGCCCCTGATATTAAGCAAAAATTGCAAAGGCTTGAGGGATTTAAGGGAATTCCCCTCAGTTAGTTATTAGAGATTGCTTAAAGATATTTGACAACCAGGAAGACCCTAAGGACCAGAAGCAGACAAAGCTGCTGGGAATGCTACCTGACAAAGTCACCCAGCCGGCTGAGAAGTCTCCTCTGCCTCTAGATAGAAATCAATGTGCTTATTGCAAAGAGAAGGGGCACTGGCAAAAGGACTGTCCCAAGCTCTTCCATGGGCTTTAGATCTTTTTTTTTTTTTAATCAGTACTGGGGATTGAACTCACGACTGCCTGCTTGCAAGGCAGGTACTTATGCCGCTGAGCTAAATCCCCAGCCCCCAGGCTTTAGATCTTTCCAAGGGGCTTGATAACGTGGCAGCCGGATGGCCACCTTGTCTGTGGGTGATTTCCTTGGTGACCCTTCTAGTAAAGGAGGCTCAAAAATTGACTTTTGGATAGAAACTTTTAATTGTCTCCGCCCATTCGCCAGAGACTCTCATCAAGGCTCTACTGGACTCATTGTTGCCCAATTCCCGACTCATGCACTATCAGGCATTACTTCTGGATCTGACTACCATCAGTTTCAAGGGGACACTGGCTTTGAACTCAGCTACTCAGCTGCCTGATGATGACCCCCCTCCTTGCCCTTCTGATCATCTCACGGGGCTTCGACTAGACTTGACAGATGAGCCACTATCCAGAGTTACATTGTATTTCTCCAATGGAAGCAGTTACATCTGTCAAGGTAAGTGGGTTGCAGGAGCCACCATTACTATCGACTCTCAGATTCTATGAGAACAAACCTTGGTGCCAGGAACATCAGCCAGATGGGCTGAACTCATTGCCTTCACTGAGGCCCTCAAGTTGTCAGACTGATAGCAAATATGCATTTGCTTCTGCCCATGTTCATGGGGCCATTAATCAAGAGTGGTGTTTATTGACTTCTGGGGGGTCAAAAATGATCCTCAGATTTTGGATTTGTTAGCTGCCATTTGGATGCCAACGAAGGTGGCTATTAATCTAGCAGACACCACTGCCCAAAAAATGGCCACAAAATCAGTGGGGATTGAGACAGCCCCGGCATTGCTGCTGATTCCATCTACTCTGTCAGAGCCCTTTTCTCAAAAAGACTTGAATTTGGCAGCTCAACTCCAAGTGAAGCCTGATATCCCCAGGGGCTGGTACCAACTGCCTGATAAGCGAGCCCTCCTCCCCGAGGCCTTAGGATGAGAACTCATCCAACAAGCTCATCAGTCTACTCACATGGGAGGATCAAAACTCACTGCTCTTTTTCAAGATTGTTTCTTTATCTCTCAGTTATCCAAGCTTACTCGGTTTGTGAGCCTTAGATGCCCTCAGTGCCAGTTGGTGAACCCAAAATGACCACAAAAAAATGGGAAAGCCTGGACTTCAAGGGAATAAGTACTTATTAGTAATGGTAGATACTTTCACTGGATGGTTCGAAGCTTTTCCTACTAAGTCTGAGTCAGTCCTGATAGCAGTTTCCCTGATTTGGCCTCCCTTTATCCATGGGGTCTGACAATAGCCGGGCTTTTATAGCCCAGATAACTCAAAAACTAACCCAAGCTTTGCAGATTAATTGGAAATTCCATTTTGCTTACTGGCCCCAAAGATCAAGATAAGTAGAAAGGATAAACCAGACTTTAAAAGTGGTAATAACTAAGATGGCATTGGAAACTGGTGAGAACTGGGTGAATCTCCTTCCTTTTGCCCTCTTGTATGCGCAATGTACCCCCTTTGTTACAGGTGTTTCCCCCTTTTTAAAGCTCTATATGGGAGACCTCCACCTCTTATTCCTAAAATTTCTGAGGAAAAATTAGCTGATCTGGCTAATCAAGATCTTGTTAAGTCCCTCCAGGCCCTTCAGCTAGTTCTGACTTCCATCCACTGGTTATTCTGAGAACAACCACCTCTGCCTGCAGCCCATCCTGAGGACGAACATCCTGCAGCAAACTGGGAACATTAGTCCTCATTAAGAGACATCACCATGAAAGATGGCAGATAGATAACATCTGGCTACAGAGGCTCCCTGAGACAGTCAACTTAGACTTCAACATAATGCAGAGTGGGGAGCCCCAAACACAAGGAGATGAATTCTCTTGTCCCAAGAAGAAATTAAGGTGAGAAGAACCAACCAAACATACAGTCCTGGTGCTATTATTGGAACAGCTAAAGGTTCAGTGTTCTTGCCACAGTGGACAACTTGCTGACAATCCGAGGTCCCACCACAGCTTGCCAAGGTCCCATTGCAATTTGCCAAGCCTTCTGAGGTCCCGCCACTTGGACTCACTGGAGGCACAGTTACACTGAGTTCAGGGGTTGGCAAGCTGAACGGAGAGCTGAGCTGGCAGGGTGCCTGCATCAACCTGTGGTGAGTGATGGGAGTGGGGCCATTCCACAGAAAGGGGCCTCTGGTGGACTGGTAAGCACAAAGGGCAGCAGTGACTTCAGTCAGTTGTTCTCTTCCCGAATGGGATTGGTGGAATGAGCTGGGTCTGGGTCATGGGACCTGACTGAGACCCAATAGGTTATCCAAAATCAATAGTGGTGGTGCATACTAACCACACTAACCTAGTGAAGCCTCACAAGTTTGACTGACCTGGAGGGGATGTGGTGCAAAGTAATATAGTGCAGGCCACAGCAGCTTGGCTGACCCAAGGGGAGGCAGTGCATAGTAATACAGTGCAGGCCACAGCAGCTTGACTGATCCAGAGAGGAGGTGGCACATAGTAATACAGTGAAGGCCACAGCACCTTGACTGATCCGGAGGGGAGGGACCAGTATATGCTGTCCCTGTCTGCAACTCACTAGCACATGGCAGTGGGAAGGGTCATCTAGCCAGCGTGCTTCAGAAGAATTGTAACCAGCAAAGAAAGAAACTGGGACCCCCCAGAAGAAGCAAAAAAGATGGGAAGAGGAAGCAACAACAAAAAGTCCCCAGGTTCCAACCCTGAGAACATTGACCCAGGACAGGTAAATACAAAGGAGAATGAGAACAGCAAACATAATATCAGACAGAGTGCCAGTGGACATAAAGAGATATCTTTGGGACCTCATAGACCAGTTCAAAAGTGAAATATTTAGCCAAGTAAAGCAAGATATAAGATTAATACAAGAGATCCTAAGCACCCTCAAGAAGACAGGAAGAAGGGAGGAACTCAAACAAAGGAGAGAACCATTTGATGAAGAATATAAAAAAATATAGAATACATGAAGCAGATTCAAAGATTACCTGGAAATTAAAAACTCTGGAAAGATGGCAAATCAGCTTGAAAGAAACTAAGGATAGATTGTCCAAACTGGAGGACAGTTTTGCAATGTGGGATTATGAAAGGGAAAACTTTTTAAAAGTAACAAGGAAATAAGCAGTATCAACACAAAGGTTAGAAGACAAGAGGATCTATAACTTGAGAATAAAGAATGTGAATGAAGAAGCTGGGGTACAAACAATGGAACTACAAAGGTTATTCACAGAAATAATTAAGGAAAACTTCCCAAACACAGGAAAAGGAAATGATATTCTGATATATGAGACATACAGAACTCCAGCCACCTACAACCAAAACAGAGCATATAATACTCAAGATCCCAGAAATTCAATATAAGAACAGAATATTAAAAGCTGTTAGAGACAAGCAACAGATAACCTACAGAGGAAGGCCCATCAAAATAACAGCAGACTTCTCCACACAAACCATCAAGTCAAGAAGAGCCTGGAGCAAAATATTCCAAGCCCTGAAAGAAAATAACCTTCATCCCAGATTGATATACCCTGCTAAACTGTCTCTAGAAATTAATGGAGAAACAAGATGCTTCCAAGACAAAGAGGAACTTGAGAAATTCATAACCACCAATCCAGCTCTACAGAGAATACTGTAGGGCATTCTAGAGAGAGAGAAAAGTACTAGGGTTCCAGGAACAGTGGCAGAGAGGCCTCAATGAATGGAACAGAAAACAGAATGAAGAAGATAAGCAGACAACTGATGGCAAAAAAGAGCATAACAGAAATGAGGCAGAGAAGATTTTATTTAAAACTAATATGATGGATAGTATCAAGTCTGAGAATATAGGCAACTACACTGAAGATGACAAGACTCTACGATACACATTCTGGTTTGATAACTGCCAGTCTTTGAAGTTATATCCTATATACAAAGTTGTGTTTTTATTAATACTGTTATGCACTGATATATTTAATTATATTATGTTTGACGATATAGCCAGTTCTATTGGAGATAACAAGAGACAACACAGGAACCATGGTAGAACTCTTTGTACAACAGTCTTATATGTTTTTTTTCATTTCATGTGTTTATAGAAATGTTTTTTTTAAAGTCACTTTATTTACCTACTAAATACTCTCACACATTTTTTTTTTTTTGTCTTCTTCGTTTTTACTGGTACTAGGGATCAAACTCACGACCGCACACTTGCAAGGCAGGTGCTTATACCACTGAGCTAAATCCCCAGCCCCTATAGAAATGTTTTGTTTTGTCTTGCTTTGTTTTGTCTCTCCCTCTAACATAGATATACATGTTAAGATTTATGTGTAGAATCTATAAACAGTTTATGAGAACTGATCTTATGACACATGAAATATACAGATACTCTGAAGAAAAAGAGACACTAAACTACCCAGTGCTGATCCTAGAGTGTCATAATGTGAAATCCAACAATAGTATTATTCTTTGTTCAGAGTGGTACTAGCCTGCTTGGGTTTATTCAATCTCAACATAATTGAAGATATGGATAACTGCATGTATGTTTAAGTGTATAGGATTGGTAACCATATTTCTAAGTTTTTGTTGGACAGTTGAACAGAACTGGTTGCAATCTACTGTTGAATCCCCACTTTATATGCTCCACTTTAGTATCTTGAATAACTATTTGTAGGAAGACAATCTGTAATCATCAACTAGTGGTTTCTGTTTTTTCTTTGAAATTATGTATTATTTCTACCCATTTTCTGTTTTGTTTAGTCTTTCTTTAAATTAAATTTAAAAAAAAGACATTACATTACCCAGTGCTGATCATGCAGTGTCATGATGTGAAATCCAGCAATACTATTATTCTTTGTTCAGAATGATTTTAACCTGCTTTAGTTTGTTTAATCTAAACATAAATGAAGATATGGATACCTGCATGTATGTTTAAGTGTACAGGATTGAAACCGTGTCACTAAGTTTTTGTTGGACAGTGAACAGAACTGTTTGTGGCCTCACTGTTTGAATTCTCACTTTACATGTTCCATTTTTGTATCTTGAACAACTATTTGTAAAATGATAATATGTAAACATCAACTAGTGATTTTTTACTATTGTTTTCTCTGAATTTATGTATTATTTCTACCTATTTTGTTTAGCTTAGTCTTTCTTTAAATAAAATTTTAAAAAATAAAAAATAAAAAATAAACCCTGTGGCAGGGTTTTCTGACCCGGAGGGGGTGTGGTGCTTTCTGCTAAAGTCTCTAAAGGCACATATAATTCTGACACAGGATTCTCCCGAATACTCGGGTCTCTTGAAGGTGAGAGCACCTGTTGTGAAGGGGAGCTGGTGTGACTCTTCACTGCTGGGAATGGAGGCCTCTTTGCAAGCAGTAGTGTACTGCGTGTGCTTTCCTTTCTCAGGTTTTCACTCAGCTTGGTCTCCTGTGTTCTGTGGGCCACACGTGAGTGAATTTTGTGAAAACGGTGAACTTTTCCAGAATGTATGATTGGCTTATTCCCCCCCATGGTTTTAACTATAGAGTTTGCATGCTCTAAAATAAAAACGCCATTTTCTGAAGAAACAGCTTTCCTTGTGTTGCCCTCAAGTGCTCTCTTTACTCTCTGAAGTCTTTTCCTTCCATGTCCAACCACAACCAGGCGGTTTACTGGTGCTTCAGCATTTTCCAGTTTTTTGGAAAGATTTGGAGTTTGAATTTGGGATCAAAATGGCTATATTGCATTGGGATATGATAGATTGGCTCATTCTTTTTTGTGTAAGTGGAGATTGAGCTAAGCCCTCTGTGATAGGTGCATACCAGCCTTCTTTTATTTTTGGTTATGAGACAGGGTCTTGCTGAGTCACTAATTTGCCCAGGTTGGGCTCAAACTTGTGATCCTCTTGCTTCCCCCTCCCAGAGTGCTGGGGTTAGAGGGGTGTGCTCCCCTACACCACTGTGTAACTGCTTCTCCTAAAGCACAGGAGAGTGCATGAGAACAATAGCGATTTGACTGAGAATCCGCCCTGCTTGTGGAGAATGTGCTTTTGGTTGCAGAGGCTGACTGTGTTGGGTGATGAGGGTGAGAGGCCACCACGCTGCCTCTCCTGGAAGCATGACAGCCACAAAGGATCCAAGCTTTACCCCAACTGTTTTTTGCCTCTGCTCTTGTTCTGTGCTCACACATACTTAACTACTTGCAATTGAATTTCTCATCATATAGCTAAAAGTTTTTAAAAAGTGTTATGTACTTTAATATGCAAAGCTATTTACAATCCCTCCTGAAGCAGGAAGGGCTTAGTGAATGGCGACTTCTTCCACCTCCCCAGTGTCTTCATCTTCAAGGGTCGACTCTGTGGGCTCTCCTTCTATGATGACTTCACAGAGCTTCCTGGAGAACAATACCAAAGCAATGAAACTTTCCCTGCCCCCTCATTTTAGACAGGAACCTTAAGTCATCCCAAGGCGCTTACAGGGCAGGCTTTGTGAAAATCTCATCCTCATCAGAGGATTCATCATGTAGCTTGGCTGCCACTTTTCTCATTTGGGAGGCACTGATGGGTTGGTATATGTCCCTTAGCCAAAATGGGCTACTGAACCCATTGATGGCCTTCTGGAAAACAGAAAGGGACTTAGGACCTCTGCTTTCCCTTGCCCCTTCCACCCCAGCATTGAGCACTTCTCCAGTTTACCTCTTTCATTTGTTCTGCTTTGCAGCTTCCATGCCAATGTGGAGAAAAGCCCCTTGTGGGAAAACATACGTGCGAGACAATTAGTGAGTGATTTGCATTGTCATGTCTCAGTCTGCATGCCCACTTCAGGTCTCTTTAGGACAAAACCTGTACCTTGCCCCATGCTCAAAATAGGCAAGTTCAAACTAGGCCTGGAGTTTTGCAAACAATTCCACAATGCTGGACTTTCTGAGGCTCCATCTGTTACCAAGGGCTTCAGGAGGTCTCTGGGGGAGACCTCTGCACCTGGCCCAGCCTGGACACACACTGTTATTTTGAGTAAAAGAACTGAGGAGGCTCACAAGGGAAGCGGAAGCATGAGAAGATGAGCTTCCGCCCCTCCAAGGAAGGATGGAGGGACTTCATCTTGCACCAGCTCCTGCCTAGCACCTGGGCTTCCTGTGCAGTCCCAAAAGGCCTCTACACCACAGGAGCAGGCGTACCCCAACCTGCCACCTCTACCCTCAGTATGGGATGTCTGGTGACAGCAGATCTTCCCTGCTTATCCCGCCCATCTCAGCTTCTTTGGAGCCACGTGAAACCTCGGGAATGAAGGGTTATTCTGTTGCTGCTAGGATCTGCACTGAGAGATCCAGGGATTTAAATAATAGCTGAGTTCTAGGTTCTCCTCTAGAGCTAGTAATGAATTTCTCATTTAAAGATCATCTAACTGAGCATGGTGATGCATGCCTGTAGTCCCTCACTGGAGAGGCTGAGGCAGGGTGATTGTTGCAAGTTTGAGGCCAGCCTGGGCTACAAAGTGAGCTCAAGTCTGAACTGCACAGTGAGACCATATCTCAAAAAGACAAAAAGTAAATACATAAAAAGTAAATAAAATCAGCAGGCTCATATTTACCTTGAGGGCTTTTCAACCACCTGTAAAGCTCTTCTATGACAACGCATCTGTTTTGGAAAAAAAAATAGTGTTGAGTATCCACCTCCATCTCCTGATTTTCATTCATAAATTTAAGTCTTAGATATTCTGCGTGATGAGAACTTTCCTAAAGACAGAATTCTACCCTGCTAGTTCATTGACTTTCTGAAAGCACTTTAAGAGTCTTGCATGAAGTGGAAACTTTTTTTATCCAGTAGTAAGGAGTGAACTCATGGCTTCTGTAATGAAATACATATTAAGCAGCTAGGGAGATAGAGACAGACAGGTTTTTGTGTTCTGTGTTCTGTGTGTTTTTATTTTTTGGGTTTCTTTCTTTTTTTTTTGAGACAAGGCTTGTTAAGCCACTAAATTGCCCAGGTTATGCTTGCATTTTGAATCCTCCTGCTTCAGCTTCCCAGAGTGCTGGGATTGGTGCCATGTGGCACCTCTTCACCAGCCTTTTAGAGTGGTGTCTCAGTTAATGCACTGAATTCCTTCCATGATTTTGTTGCAACTGGATTGCGAGCATCCTACCCCATGTTGGCCCTGCTTCTGGGGCTCAGATTTTAGTGTCTGCTCTCACCAAAAGAGAACTCACTCCTTCCTTTTGGAGCAATCTTATCTCATCAGTCTCACAAGACCGACCCCAAATCAGAATGCCCCGACCTCACAAGAAATAGTTCTGACCCAGAGGCAGCACCTCGGTAGTCCAGGCTGACCCTGAGCTATGTAGCACGGGCTGCCCATGAACTTGTAGCAGTCCTCTTGCCTCAGTCTCCCAAATGCTGTGCTTACAGGTGTTTACCGCCACACCCAGCTTTTTTCCATGCTGACCTTTGTGTTTCACTCTTAGATGCCCCTCTTTCAAAAACCTGTGTAGCATATTTCTATTCTCGTGGTAGGAGAAATGGACATGAGTCTCTTAAGAGGGGACTGGCTCAGGAGAACTAGCGCATCCAGGAAAGACTGCATGAAGGAGGACGAGCTTGAGTTGGCTTTCAGCACATTCGTGAGACTTCCACAAGCAGGGTGAAGTACAAGGATTCTTTATAGACAGAGCACAGGCAAATATAGGAATGGGATGGTACGACTAAGGCATGGAGAGGGGCCGGGGCAGAAGGCTGCCACAACTGTGGGAAATGTAAATTAGGGATACTTTATTTAGTTGGAAAAGGAGAGTAAAGTTTGTCAGACTATGAAATTACGCTTTAATAATCTATCAGATGAAAAGTAAAATAATAAACTATTACATAATGAGGCAAAAAGCAAACAGGGGCAAGCTCTGGAAGAGGCTGCTCTAAACAGGACCTGCTGTGGGAGACCTGACAGAAGCCTCAGCGGCAGGGCTATACCTGGACCTATTAGACAATGCCTCGCACACTGGAGACAGCAGCAGCTGTCAAAGCTAAAGAATGTGGAAGACAGACTTCTGTCTTGTGGCGCTGTCCCTTCTCCCTAGAGTGATGACAGCTGCTTGAGCATGGCGAGCATGAGATCAGTGAGGACATCAAACTGTCGACATGGTAGTTTGGGGTTGGGGAAATTTTCTTTCATGGCATCGTTTGCCCATCAAATTAACTTGTCCAGGTACCCAAGTGACCTGTTGTCTTGGTTTTAGCTCGTCAGAGATCTTTTGGGAGTGGAGTTCCTTTAAAAATCCCTGGAGAACACCAGGCATTCCAGAGGCTGAGGCAGGAGGGTCACTGTGAATTTGAGCCCAGCCTGGGTTACATAATGAGCTCAAGGTCAGCAAGGCACCATCTCAAAAGATAAACCAATCTTCTTACCTGAAAATCATATTACAGTAAAAGAGCAAAGACTATTTCAACCTGAGTTACTAATGTGGAACGGCACTGGGGATTTAGCTCAGTGGTGCAGGTACTTGTCTGTAAGTGTGAGGTCCCAAGTTTGATCCCTGTTACAAAACAACAACAACAACAACAAAGAAACTAAACTAAACTACAGAGGAATGTCCAGGAGGAAAGGGCAACGTGGCCTGGGTTTTCTGTTCATGGTTCTGAATCATACAAAGACAAGATGCATTCAGGAAACTTGAATCAATTTTTATCCTTACCTTGATTAGGCAGAAAATTACCATCAAAATCATCACTCCCATGAAAGATAATGGCAAGATCAGTTTGTAATAGTCATGTTGTGGAACTTTTGTAAGCTAAAAAAAAAAAGATAATTTTAGTTGGGTAACAAAGACATAACAAGGATGACAGCTGTCTATTTAAATCCAATTCTTCTGAGTAGCTTAGAGATTCTTAAAAGCACATCAAACGGGATGTGTTACAAATCTTATTATAGTGCACGTCCTTCTCTTGCTTTGTTTATCTTGTGTTAGGACATCTCCTTCTCTCATGGAGCAGGGTGGAGAGTGCCATCCTGGCCAAAGTTACGTGGCCAGGACAAAATACAGACCAGCAGGCCCTGCTTGTGCACCTCATGGTGGCCCCTCAGCTCGGTAGACCTCCTCACCTCTCTTGACTTCTGGTCCTTGTGGTCGCTCTCTGCTGTGTTCTCACTGGTGTCCTTCTCACTCTTCTGATCCTCTGCATCCCACAGGGCCTTGGCCACATGGACTTTTTCCTCTTCACTGAGTAGCTTCATCAGGAGGCCCGTCCTAGAGACGAGCTTGGCACAGGCCAGCTGCGTGTGGGCCTCAGAGCAGTCCATTTTTACGATCCTGCTGACCTGAGAAATCAGCCTTCTGATGTTATTGTTGGGGATGAGGAGCCCCAGCTGCTGGTCTCGGTAAGTTTCAAACTGATCACCTGACAGCAGTGTGGAGGTGAAGTCCCTGGGGAGTGAGTCAGTCCCCGTGTTGGGTTGTTGCCATCGTGCCTCCCTGGCCTGCCTCACAGCTGGTGTGAGGTCGGGTGTAGTCGCAGCAGTCTCTTTGGCCAAAGGATCCTTCTGAGTTTTTTCAGATACAGACCTTTCTGGCACACTAACATACCCTCCAAAATCCACTGCTTGAAAATCTTCATCTGTAGCAGGGTTTTCTACAGAGGTGCTTTCTGCTAAAGTCTCTAAAGGCACATATAATTCTGACACAGGATTCTCCCGAATACTCGGGTCTCTTGAAGGTGAGAGCACCTGTTGTGAAGGGGAGCTGGTGTGACTCTTCACTGCTGGGAATGGAGGCCTCTTTGCAAGCAGTAGTGTACTGCGTGTGCTTTCCTTTCTCAGGTTTTCACTCAGCTTGGTCTCCTGTGTTCTGTGGGCCACACGTGAGTGAATTTTGTGAAAACGGTGAACTTTTCCAGAATGTATGATTGGCTTATTCCCCCCCATGGTTTTAACTATAGAGTTTGCATGCTCTAAAATAAAAACGCCATTTTCTGAAGAAGACACAGCTTTTCTTGTGTTCTCCGCAAGTTCTCTCTTTACTCTCTGAAGTCTTTTCCTTCCATGCCCAACTGCTGCCAGGCTGTTTTCTGGTGCTTCAGCATTTTCCGATTTTTTTTGAAAGATTTGGCCTCTGAATTTGGGAAGAAAATGGCTAGGCTGTAGCAGCATAGGAATTTTCTCTTCCTTTTTTACCTCATTGTTTTTTTCCTGGTTACCTTCCTCCAGCAATTTTTGAAGAAGATACAGCTTCTTCATCTTATTTGTGAAACGTAAATTGTTGCGTGCAGGTTGAAAAGAGTTTCTCCTGTTGTGGTTCGAGTCACCTAAGGGATTAGCGTCCTCTTGGACTTTTGAAAAAAGCAGCTGAATGAATGGTAATAATGTTGCCTCTATGCCTTCTGGATTTTCCTTGGAGAAATAAGGCAGTATGTAGTTTAGTGCACTGATGATGTCACTTTCATCATTCATATCGAGCTGCTCTTTTGTAAAGCCCACTGGGTTGGTCACACTTTCCTCTGAAGATGACATTTCAGATTCAATATTCAGCTGGGTGCTGGTGCTCCCCTTCCGGGCTTGTAACACTTTCATGAAGCATTCTTGGGAGATCACTATGGATGTGTCTCCCACTGTCAGAAAAGAAGACATTGCTCTCAGTTAGGGCAGAATGATAGACACCCAGCTTTTTACTGGCCCACAGCTGTACACACCAGTCAAAGAAGGGAGAGGTCAGCAACTATTTCAGTGCCATGTGGACAAGACAAAAAGAAATCCAAACTTAAACTTACAAAAACCCAACAGAAAGAGAAAATGACCTCTCTTGCTAACGAGACTACTTTTTGAGAACATTCCATAGTGTGTAATACAGCAACTTAACTTAGCCAAATGATTGGTACTCACTAAAGGCCACATCCTGACAAGTACTTGCCCACTCAGCAGGCTTCTCTGCAGACCTTCTATGCATACCCATGCAGGACCCAAAACACCATAATGTCACAGTGTAGCAGCAGAGGCAGCACAGGTCTTCCTCACCCCACCTGGTCAGTTGCCACCTCACTATGCTCGGATGACCATGATGAAGGACAGTCCTCTTAGGACAAAAAGGCAGACATGCAAAAGCCCCACTCCTTCTGCCTACAGGTCTTTTCTGGATACGTCTGCTCCACCTGTGTGCCCAGTGCCTTCACTTGGTCCGTGCTTCCATGTGTCCTAGCACCGTGATGGCAAACATCCAGAGAAAAAGTGCCAAACCGCACCCTAACCCACTTACTCATGGCAAAGTGCCAACCCTGCAATGAAACCTGAATACTGGGGTTTTAGGCGGGAAAAATCAACTCCTTATGAACGTCTTTTGTCTTAAGAGAAAAACACAACCATGCATGTGTGGTAAGTTCACTGCCACTGTCCTGTCCCATAACAAAAGATTCTTCCACACAGAGCCAAATACTGTACTGCTCGAGTCTTCTTATATCAGAGCAGGGATCCAGAGTGTAGGATAAGAGATTTTTAATTTGCCTGGTTGTATGCCTGCCTCTGTGGAATAGTGAACAGCAAATCTACAAAATAACAGCAGTTTCTGTATAAACATGACTTAAGGTGGTAATGTATAAGAGAAACTGCCCCTTCTATCAGATCAGATGCTTTCCCTACTTTTATTTCTGTCCTAATATTTCTAAGCATCCAACGCTCCTGACAATACTGTCATACGAAAGTCAAGGGCTCAATGTGTAACTGATTTGTCTTCTGGAAGAATTAATTGACTGGTGGTGGTGAGGACCAGAGGAGGGGGTAAGGATCATGACCATAGAGGAAAATGGGTTCTGGAGAACCCAGAATTGCGGACAGAGGGCTGGGCATGAGGCTCTAGCACTTGACACCTCTGATCTTAATCTGTAAATGGAGGCAAGAAATTCTTGTTTTTCTCACCTCTGAGGGTAGAATGAATACTGTAATTGGTAAAAATTTGTTTTGGAAACCAAGCAAAGTTCTTTTGCATAAGAAACGTAGTGCCACTATTTATTATTTGTCCCTGTATTCAAGCTCTCCGGATGTGAAAGCACTCACATGTGGCAAGCATGAAGTGAGAGCTAATAAACCCGACATACGGAAAAATCCTTAAATGCACCTGAGTCATCTGAGACTCATGATAAGCTCAGGTTTGGACAGTCTGGGCATGGAACAACCCTGCATTCCCTTAGAAGAGACAAGCAATTGTAGTTAGGCAATCAGAAACTCAGGCTCCAATACAATAGTATGGCTTGACACAGTTTCGAAAAGATGATAAAACGGATGTACACCTGCCTAAGGTTGAAGGAATAGAGACCTAATATATAAAAAACCAGCTTACAAGCTGCACTGCACATTATAAGTGCACATAACTGCACATTATAAGTGCAAACCAATTGTATCATTAGTTTACAGCCTTTGTATCACTATTTAGAAATTAAAAAGCAAATAAAAGAAACATGAAAGCATCATTAGGCAATTGAGACTCACAACACTGCTTGGCATTGGTCAGACATGTGCTATCACAGTGCAGCTTGACTGTCTTGTCGACAACTTCAATATCATTTTTAAATTGGCAGAGGCAGCAGACCATGTTGCTCGGTAAGATCCTGCAGACAGGACACAGAGTTCTGAGTTAATGGAAAGCTGCTCCTTGAATGGTAAAGAGGCAGGACGAGGCTCCACAGTGTGGAGCAGGAAGGAGTGCTTGAGGCAGCCCTTGCGGCTGGGTAGGAAGCCAACAGCCACTGCAGCTTTTGGATATTGTGAGTAAATAGGAGGGAGAGAGGGGTCCCCACAGAAGGAAGCTCAGCAGTGCGTGTGGTGGGCCTCACATGAAGGTCCTGGAGATTAGTGCTGAGTGACAGGAATGTGTCCTTTCATTCAGAAGCATCTCCTTTCAACTTGTAAGTCTCACTGTGGGTTGGGAGTGCACAGGAAGTACATCAGCTTCTAAAAAGCGGGAATCAGGGCTGGTGGTTTAGCTCAGTGGCATAAGCACCTGCCTTGCAAGCAGGCAGTCGTGAGTTCGATCCCTGGTACCGGTAAAAATGAAAAAGCCAAAAAAAAAAAAAAGTGGGAATCAGCTTCCAATGTGTGAGGTCCCTTTCACAACTTGGGTTCCGAGTGGTAAATGTGAGACATTTGGCAAAAAAGTCAGTTTATCCCTACCTATATTGTGCGGTTAATAACACAGATCAAACTTGGTAAATCTAGACAACTGGAGCATTCAAAAGGTCAAGGAGGACTCAGTGGGGGTGAAGTGGCTCAGAGGGAGAGAGCTGGCCTAGTGTGCTCAAGTCCTGGGTTTGATCCATAGTATCTCAAAATACAGAAGGGAGAGGAGGATGAGGGAGCAATGACTACGTGATGAAAGCAGCCATGAATTACTAGTGGCTCTGGAAAGGATGGTGTCTAGCTAATGTGGGTGGGAAGGGAAGCAGGTGCTGCAGGAAGTTGAGGAAGACGAGCCTGGAGCAGAAACCAAGGGGTTTGGCAGTGTGGGAAGTCAGTTGAGGAGGTGACCTGACAGAAACAATGAGCGCAGACTGCTAAATGAAAGGTGTCTTGCAAACCCTCAACTACTTCACTACTAAGTGAGCTTCTATTTAGCTTGCTATATTGGAGGAGGATGGCACAATTCAAGTTGCAGTCAGTGGTATAAAAACCATCAAAACAGGGCACTACATACAGTAGTACAGTAATATACTTCACACTCTGCATGAAAATTAACTCACAATAGATCATAAACCTACCTGTAATCCTAACACTCAGAAGCTGAGGCAGGAGGATCACCAATTGGAGCCCAGCCCAGGTAGATCAGCAACTTAGTGAGACCCTGTCTCAAAACTACCAATAAAAAATGCTAGTGCAAGCACCAGGGTTTAATCCCCAGCACCTCTGAAAATAATCACGGACCTAAGTATGACTAGAGTTACACAGCGCAATTCTGGAAGAAAGCAAGTGAGAAAATCTCGTAGCCGTGGGTTAAACAATGGGCACATAAAACAAAGATTTCTTAGGTAAGACAAGAAAAGGCCTGAAAGAACAAAAGCTTGCTAAATTCTATTTCATCAAAATTTTTAAAGTTAAGATTTCTGTTCTACTCTAGTGCTCTGGGAAACTGAGGTAGGATGCTTGTAAATTTGGCCCAGTCTGGGCAACATAACTCCATGGTGAGACCTTGCTTCAAAATAACAAAATGAAAAATGTGGAAGGGGAGGTCATAGCTCAGTAAGAAAGGCCAAGTACTTAAAAAATAATATCTGCACTCATAAAGATAATCATCATTAGCTTAGCTAGTAAAGAAATGCACACTTAAGCTACAATGAGATAGATCCACATACATGGTGTTTAAAAGGCTGACCTTTTTTACAGAGTGAAATGCAGGGATCAGATAAAGATGATGTGGTAACTCTTTTCTTTGTTTTTGATTGGGGTACTAGCGATTACACTGAGGGCATTCACACTGGGCTGTCTCCAGCCTCTCTTTTTGTCCAGCTTTTACATGTATTTATTCATTTTCATTTTGAGACAGGGTCACACTGTCAGTAAGATACACAGGCTGACTTTGAACTTGCCATCCTCCTGCCTCAGTCTCCCTGGGTGCTAGGATTACAGGCCTGGGCCGCCACGCCTACCTGCCATTTGAACTCCCATAGACTGCACGTGGGATGTATGAATGATTATCCTAAGTGGATAATAGCCAAACACAAATGGCTGCACACTGCATGATTTCATTTATAAGACCTTCCAGAAAATGTAAACGTACAGGGCAGAAATAAGACTGGCAGATTCTGGGAGCTGTGATAGATAGAGTGAACCAGCTGTGAAGGACATGAGCTGCCTTCTGAAGGTGACCCAGATGTTTTACAGCAGGGGTGTGGTGGTGGCTACATAACCACACAAACTCCTCAAACGTGTGAGTTTTGTGACATGGAAATCACACGTCCATAAGCCTGACTTAATAGTAAAACAAACCTAGCAACAACAATGAACCCAAGAGAAACAGATCTGAGAAAAAAACTAACTTACAGTCTTTCCAATTCAAGAGACTTCGTGAGGATGTTCTCCAGTACTGTGAGTGACACATGCGTCTGTCCCAAGTCCCTGAAGAAGAAAGCCAGACAGAAATGAGGAAGCCCAATGCCAAAAGTCTGTGCTTCAACAGGTATTTGAAGGATATCTTATTATTGCACTTTTGCCTCCCAGTGAAACAAGCCAGCACATAACTTTACATGAACTATAATCCCAGAGAAGTCTTCATGCAAAAATTCAAATTTAATGTTTTCATCATCAAATGAATGACCTTGGCATTGCATAGTAGATGCTGCATCTGTGTTTCAGTCACCATCATACTTCACATTTTTATATTGCATTCACATCTCTCACTGTGTTGTTCTTTTTAGTAACAAGGCCACTATGTTTCCTGGGGTAATGGTGTTCCTGCATCCACTGATGTGATCCGTGTCTACCGTGTTCCTCAGTGGTGCTCCCGATCCCTGCTGACTCTCTTGCCCATTATACATCTTAATCCTTCTCTTTGTGAATAACCTGATTAAAATTAAACTTATGACCTGTAGGATCAAAATACAATACTGTACCATTCTTGGAAGGAAGCAAGAAGAGCCAAAGTCATATTATGACTTAAAGGTTATGGCAATACTTACAGATAATTTAATGCTTGTAATGTAAAAAGTGATGGATCTTCGATAGTTGTCAGAGGATTATTATTGAGAATTCTGAAAAATGCAATGGGATAAAAGTTATCTGTATTTTCAATATGCATGAAATTACATAAAAAGTTGATATTCTTTTTTTGGTATGGAGCTGATTCATAGGTTAAAAAACCATTTTCTTTGATTACCTATGAATAAACCTTAAAATGCATAAAGCAGTGTTCCCTTTGGGGATTCTGTATGTCTGTAAAAGATCCTGTGGAAAAGAGAAAGTGAAAAAAATGTAGGAAAAAAGTGGATAGAAAACCAAAAAAAAAAAAAAAAAAAAAAAAAAAAAAAAAAAAAGAGGCTAAAAACAAAATCCCTAAAAGTGACTGCTCCATAAGGAAGCCTTTATTATAAGCCAACCAAACCTAACATTCCTGTATAGGACATTTCCCAACAACAATGTAAAAACAAGAAGAAACACAGTCTTCTTAAGGGCATATTGAAAAGACCTGTGAGTGCCACATGCATGTGTCTCAAGACCCTTGGGACCTTTTACTATTAAGCCAGGTCTATTGAGATAGACTAGGTCAAGTGTCCATCCATTCTTTGTTTCTTTTGAGGCAGGGTCTCTCTGCAATACAAATCAGCTCCAGGCTTGCTATGTACCCCAGCATGTGCTTGAAGTTGCAGTCCTCATTGCTGAACCTCCCATGCTGGGATTACAAGCATGTGTCATCACACCTACTTCGAGTCTCAATACACTTAAAAGGACTAGTACACAAAATATGTTCTCTAAAGAAGGTGGGATGAAATCACAGATCAATGACAGGAAGAAGTTTGGTAAATTCCTAAATATAGAAATTAAGCATATATAAGCAACCAACAGGTCAAGAAGAAATAACAGACATGAGGAAATACCTCAACATCACTGTGAAAGAAGACACCCAGCACCAACACTTTAGGAAAGGTATACACACACATGCAAATATTAAAAATTCTCATCAGTAATATAAAGCTCTGAGTAAACAAGGAAAAAAAATCCAAGAAACTTTAAAAAAAAGGTAACAGAAAGAAACAGTAAAGAGTAGAACAGAAAAAGGTGATACAGAGAATTGAAAAACAATAGAGAAAATCAACACTGCCAAAAATTAGTTTTTAACAACGATCCTGTGGAGACAGCTTAGCAGCTTATGAGCCCAGTGCCTGCCTGGCAAGCATGAAGCCCTAAATTGTATTCTAGATACCAAAACAACTCAGTGGTAAAAGATCAACAGTGCCGGGCTTGGTGGTATAATCCCAGCACTTGGGAGGCTGAGGCAGAAAGACAGCTGTGAGTTCAAGGCCAGCATTAACTATATAGCAAGACTCTGTTTTGGGGGCAAACATCATTAACAAAGGAGGGGACATGGCTGGGTGTGGTGACACATGTCTACAATCCCAGCACTTGGGACCTTGGGGCAAGAGGATCACAGCAACTTCAAGATCAGTCTGAACTAATAAACTGTGTCTCAAACAAGGGTGGAATTATTACTGATATGGAATGGATTATTACTAGAATGGAATGGATTATAAGGGAAAACCGAAAAATTATTTGCCAATAACTTAGATAACCTAGATGATAGATATGGTTCTAGAAACTGAAGAAACAACAAAACCTTGAACAGACCTATTTAAATAGAATGATTGAGTTATTGACCAAAACTTCTCACAAAGGAAGAGCCTTTTGTTTTCTCTTTGGTGGGAGAATCTCATGATCAGATGGCTTCACTGGTGAAATCTGCCAACTGATTAAAGAAGCAATACCACTAACCCGTCAAAACATTTTCTAACATGTAAAAGAAGACAGAATCATTCCTACTTCATTCTAGGAGTCAGTATTGCCCCCTATACAAAAAAGATATAAATCAAGAAAATTATGAATATATATACATATATATGAATATATATTTTGGTACCAGTGATCAAGCTCACAACCTCGCACTTGTCAGGCAGGTGCTGTGCTGCTGAGCTATGTCCTCAATCCTGAAGCAGTATATAGATATAAAATTCCTCACAAACCACATTAAACAGAGCATGCAGATAACACTATGCATCATGACCAAGTCCAGGAATGCAAGTTTGGCTCAACATAAACATCAGTCTAAAACAATATTAATAGAATGAAAGAAACGTGTTCATCTATGTTAATGCAGTGGGAGCATTTAAAAATTAACTCCTTTTCACTATAAAAACATCCACAAACTAGTAATAGAATCACCTCTGGGGCTGAGGCATAAGTACCTGCCTGGCAAGGGCCAGCTCATGAGTTCGATCACCGGTACCAAAAATAAATCACTTCAGCCTAATAAAGGGCACAAAAATAAAAAGGAAAAACACCACCATGGCTAACATCAAAGCAAAGATCTCTTCTTATATCTATTAAAATCTATATGGAGGTTTGAGCCAGGGCAGCCGGGGAAAACAAAACTGTACACTTGCATATACATATAGAAAACTGTAGCATAACCAGGCATGTGGCTACAGGCCTGCAACCAGCACTTTGAGAGGCAGGAGGATTCCTGCCTAGACATTTAGTGAATTTAGTAGATCCTATCTGAAAATAAAAATAAAGCAAGGGACAAGAATGTAGCTCAGTCCCTGGTACAAGTGTGAAAGCATAAGCCAGTCATTGTGGCAGTACATGCCTGGAATCCCAGGACCCAGGAGGCTGAGGCAGGAGGATCACTCTGAGTTGGAGGTCAGCCTGGCCTGCATAGTACGTTCAAGGCCGGTCTGAACTACGTAGTAAAATCTCTTAATCAAACAAATAAACAAATCAAAAGAGAAGAGAAAACCATAATGAATGCATACATGGAAGGAAACTAGGACTAGTAAGGTTAAAGGTTGTAGAACACAAGATCCTTATGCAAAAATTGGCTGTCTTTTTCCATTGCAGTGTAACTCAATGCAGCATACTTTCCTAGCACATACAAGGCTCTGGGCTCCACCGCCAGGGCCAGAAAGAAAATTAATATGATATTCAGAAAACTATTCCAGGGGCTGGGGTTTAGCTCAGTGGCATAAGCGCCTGCCTTGAAAGCAGGCAGTCGTGAGTTCGATCCCCGGTACCAATAAAAAGGAAAAAGACAAAACAAAAAACAAAAAAAAGAAAAGAAAACTATTCCATGTGTTGACAAGAATAAAACATTTAGAACTAAATGTAACCAAAGAAGTACAAAACATACGTTGAAAAATATAAACCACTGTTAAAAGAAATTAAAGATCTAAATGAATAGAAGACATTTGTCATCATGGATCAGAAGACATCATTACTATTAAGAGGGCACAGCTGCCGACGATGTAGCCCAGTGGCACAGCACCTGTCTGGCAAGGACTAGGCCCTGAGTTTGATTCCTGGTACAAAAAAAACAAAAAAAGATGTCACTATACTTCAAGCTGAGCTATGATTTCAGCACAGTTCCTATCAAAATCCCAGATACCTGGGCTGGGGCTGGGCTCAGTGGTATAGCACTCACCTACCAAGCATGAGGCCCAGTACTGCTAAACAAAATGAAACAAAACATCAAATTCCAGTTGGAGAGCTGGGGATTCAGGCCCGTGACACAAACGCCTGCCTTGCAAGGGCACAGTCATCAGTTTGATTGCCGGTACCAAAAAAAAAAACAACTTCCAGCTGGATTCTTTCCAAAACCTGGCAAGCTATTTTCTAAAATTCACATAGCAAGTCAAGAGATTCAGAATCACCAAAACCATCTTGAAAAAGAACAGACTAGGACTCAGTTTCCACTTTCCAAACCCAGTGGAGATCTACAGCAAACCGAAGTGTGGTATTAGAGTAAGACTAGCCTGTAAATCAATGGAATCGTGCTGACAGTCCAGGAATAAACCTTCACCGTTACTGTTACCTGCCTGTTGACAGGTGTGAAAACAATAGAACAGTCTTGCAGAGTGTTGCTAGGAGAACTGGATATCCACATGCAGAAAAATGATGTTGGGCCCCTCTACGCAGCAGTATTAGAAAACTGACTCAAAGCATAGCAGATACCTAGTACAAGGTCTTAAACTATAAAACCCTTAGAAGAAAACAGGAGCAAATGCTTATGCTCTTGTTTCTCATATATGATAACCAAAGGAAAAGTATATAAAGCAGATTTTACCAAAACTAAAAACCTTTGTGCTCCAGCTGGGCATAATGAGGCATCCCTATAATTTTAGCACTCAGGAGACAGAGTGAAGATGATGAGTTCAAGGTCAGCCTGGGATGCACAATGAACTGGAGGCAGCCTGAGCTGCATGGCAAGATTCTGTCTCACAAAACCAAAGCCAGCTTGGTGTGGCAGTACACCAAGGAAATGGGGAGTGCTCACTCACTGGTACAGGGCTGCTTTGTAGGGTGATGAGGGTGTTGTGGAATGAGATAATGGAGATTATTGTGGAATCTCATGAATACACTAAACACCACTGAACTGTTCTCTATAAAGCTGTGCTTTTATTTTGAAAAGAGCCGTGTTGTAATATATGGAGGACCAAGTGCTGAGAGCACAGTCCTGTTGGCAGAGGGCAGAAAGAGGAGTGACTTTCAGACTCTTCCTTGACCAGGTCAGAGGGAGTCAGTGGTGGGACTGGGAGCCACGCGGCTCGTTCTCGCCAGGTGAGCTTCCCCATTTAGTGCATTCTTCCAGATGCAGTTTATCTTGCTTCATTTGTAACGTTAGACAATATTCAATGAGATGATGTCATGAAGTGAAAGAACATGAATGTCACATGACTAATAAGCACAGTGGCTCAAAGTATAGCTTTCAATAGGCCACTCACTGCTGGGCTCTGTGAAAGCGGGTTCTCCACCCCTACCTCTTCTCTCCCTGCTTCCTTTCCCCCAGCCACTAAGAATGACGGTGAAGGCCAGGCCCAGTGGGGCAGGCCTGTGGTCCCAGCACACTAGGAGGCTGAGGCCAGAGGTCAAAATTTGAGCCCAGCCTGGATAGTTTAGCAATTTAAAGAGAACTTGTTTCTAAATTTAAAAAAAGGCTGGGGATGTGGCTCAGTGCAAAAGCCCTGGGTTCAATCCCCAGTACCACAAAAGGCAATAAAAATGAATATAGAGGTCATCTACACTGGCCAGTGAGCAGGGAACCTTCAGATGCTCACAACTGTCATGGCCAGGCCAGGAACTCTACGAGTGTCAAACTAGCAGAAAACAGTTGGAGCTGTCTGTCCCAAAGGTCCTACT